TTTGTACATAAATGTTACATAATTATTTTCATTTGTATCTATAATATGACATATTGAGGTTACGTTTCATTACAAACCTCCAAAAACTGTATGCGACTCTGTCGGTAAATCAAACCACTCCAGCATCCCCTTAAGGAAGAAAATGACAGAAAATTTTATACACATGTAAATTATGTGTCTTGTACATGAAAGTTATATTAAAGTAATGTATTGAAGTTGTATCAAATGTAGTAATGCAATCAGTAATAATTATCATAAGTAATAATATAACATGTAATTATAATGTTACTAGTGGCCTTACCTGCAGCTTCGTTCGGGCCTCCTTTTCTCGAATCACCTCTTTTTATATGTCTATTTTTTCGCAGAATTCTATAAAATAACATTGTCGAACGTGGCCAAGATCTTTCCATGGGTTTAGATATTAAAATTTATTGATTTCACAGTTTAGAATGTGACTTTCTAATAACGAATTCGATTGCACTGCATTGCGTTTCCTTTCTTATAAACGCAACGTTTAGGCCATGGGTTTTGGCCCTTCTCAAGTGTTACAGCATGAAGTCGGCCAAAACCCATGACCAAACGTTGTGTTTGTGATAAGGGAAATTTTCCTGTAGGCAGTTGTGTCGGATTATTCAACCTAACTGTTAATCAAGCACTGGCGATAAAATCCTCGAAACTCTGTTTAAAACTACTTATGTTATTGTCATTTTACTTTTATTATCATTGCATCTTGTCGGCTACTATGTTCCAGTGACGATACGCGAGGGAATTAATTTATTTCGACGACGCATCATACAGCACGGTTGGAGTCGTGAGGCCAGGAATTTTGGAGAAGTCGCTCAAACGATCCTGACCGTTCGAAGGACCGAAGGATATGCCAAGGTGTTACGCCCGCATATGTCGCAAAGATCGGCGATGCGCGGCGAATCGCGTTGCACCGGCTCGTTGCAGTGAAAGGAATACGCCCTGCGATGATCCGCGGCGAATCCGGCGGCGGCGAACCTGAATCCGACGCGCGCGCATTATACAAGACGTTACGAGACGCAAGATGATGACGGTTCTCCCGGCGACGAGCAATGCATCCTCGTTAAGCTCAATCTCACCGTGCCGATTCGTAGCGTTTATGTACGTGGGCGTGGACACACGCGCTCACGTGGATACGTGCATGTGCGCTTCCATCCCAGTGAGCAAGGATGAGTCTGCAAGCGCGAAATTAGCCCAATTCGCCTTAGACGCGATGCGGATGTACACGCGAGTTGCGGAGGGCAGTAACTAGGTGTATGGGAGTAATTGCACGCGATAGCTACCGATTTTTGGCATACCTCAGTCGAAATTTCGTTTGATTGGATTATAGAAAAATACTATCGGATTTTAAACTGTATAACGTTTCATCTTGTGTCTCGCACTTTATTAAACATTTGAGCGAGACAACGATTAAAATGTAGATCTTTGTTACGAGCAAACTGATATGTATGTTAAATTGTATTCCACGCGCACGCACACACGCATACACACGTGTCTAAACATAAATTAAAAATATACATATATGAATAAAATATTAGGCTGCCATTCATATGCGCGAAGTTTCGAGACGAGCGTATTTTATGCAAGAATGTAACTTGCCATCGTGATTTATTGTTTCTGCAATGTTTCCATGATTGTTTGCACAAGGGAGCTTAATCGGGCGTAAAAACTGTAGACATATATTTCACGCGCTATGACACAAGTGATATGCACGTGCATATATCATACGAGAATGGTATAAGCAGCTCTTGCGCGAGCAAAAGGAGCTAATAAACGCAATGAATTTAATTCATAGAGAAATGGCATGCGTTCAACATCCCGATTTCCTAAGCGATATAGATACGCACGAGGTGCATGAGAACTGCGAGCAAAAGCTTAATGCTAATTGGAAGTGCGAGAAGTAACACCTAATAGCACACATAGCACGTAATATTGTAGCAATGTCACAGCAATATTGCAATATGTTGGAAATATTACATATTACAATAAAATATTATAAAAATATTACCGACATCATACACTTTTATAAATAACATTGAAGTAGTATAATTACATTGCTGCAGTATATCACATGGAAAATAGCAAAGTGACGTCAAATGACATTTCAAACGTCTTACTTACATTAGAAATGTCATTAAGATGTTAGAAATGTTATTAAGATATCATTTGTCATCTTGCTACTTGAGATGTTATACAGGATATTTAAAAAACGAGTTTAGGGTTTTAAAAGTAACGTTATGAATATACACACGTACACCCATACAGCACAGAAATTTGCAACTACGTTACAGTTGCAATATCATATAATACATTGCAGTGCAATACCGTAGAAACATTGTATAAATTTACAACGTTTGAATAACATTATAGCAACATTTCAAAACTATTGTGAACAATTTTTTAAATCACTCAGCAGTACATAGTTGTTTTTGCTTATAGATGAATTTATCATTTACATGACGTATACTTTTCATAGCAAATTTCAAATATTTTTGGTACATTTTGCCTCCAGTAATCTATAAACTTAACTGTAATTGATTTATTATTTTAAAAATGAGACCACAAATTGAAAGTCTAACGAGAACATTTTGAGTTGCAGTTTTCCTTAACGAAAGTAATAAATTATTATTACCAATGTCATAACATTTCTAATGCAAATAAGACAGTTTAAATGTCATTTGACGTCACTTTGCTATTTTGCATGTGATATATTGCAGCAATGTAATTATAATATTTCAATGCTATTTATAAAAGCGTATTTTGTCAGTAATACTTGTATGATATTTTATTGTAATATGTAATGTTTCCAATATATTCCAATATTGCTGTGATATCGCTGTAACATTACGTGTTATGTGGGAGCTGGCGACACGTATTGCGTATACATGTTCAAAATACCCATGCCTGGACTGGGTGGCATCGCGAACACCTGTAGCTGACACGAGTATCCGAGGAGGCAGGTAGCATCTCCGCATTTTAAGCATGCGATTTTTAAAATAATAAAAAGAGGGAATATTTTTCAAGAAGTCGACCTCTTAATCGGGTCCCTTTCAAGTGTGGCCTATAGTTGTCGAAGTAGCGTAATTTGTTTAACCGAAACAGAGCCGAAACGTTGTGAACTGAATAAAGATCACTTTCTTGCCAGTTTGGCCGACTTCTTGAAAAATATTCCCTCTTTGAATTATCACTGGCGACAATAAGATTTACTCAACTTGTTTAAAGTAATAATTTTACACTGCGAACCTTAAGATTCTGTTTGTAAAAAATATTTTTTAAGCGCTTGGACGCTTTTAATGATTTTTTTTTACAAGAAACTTTCCAGGATACACCGTGATTTGGGATTTCGCGTATAATAGGTATACGTTCTCGCGGCGCCGTCCAATTTCTGTCTTTGTGTGTCTGCATCTGTTCCGCGAGTACTGGCGTGTGTATAATTTAATAAGCCTGCACGCACACACACACACACGCCTGCGGAGGATCGCGATACGTAGGCGCAGATGCGCACGCGGATGCACGGGAGACACGAGGCGCGAGTGCACGCGAGGGGGACCATCGGTTACCACCTACCTATCGTCTAGCCAGAAAGCCCCGACCACCGTCCACCACCCTTTGCTTAGTTAGCGGATTACGCGAGTAACGTCCAACATTTATTCTCCCCTTCAGCCTCCAGAAAACGGTCGATGGCGGGGCAAAAAGGGGGCACAAGCAGAGCGTCTCCGGTGACTATAAAGCCTCACCGGTGACCACCTAGGCTCGTGTCTCTAACTGCAGTTAACCCAAGAGTTTCGTACGTGGCTTTTCGGAAGGTCCGAGTGTGTCTCGCACGCAGTGGGACTGTTCGCTGCCACGCAAGTGCGCACCGATTCGCCGGTAACAGGGAGAATTCGAGGAGTCGCCGTCTGACTTTCGGAATACGTCAATCAAAAACCATCATGAACACCCTCGTGAGTGTGATCCTTTGATTTTCTCCAGGCGTTCGCGATTTATCCACTTTCCAAACGATTATTAACAATCGGGAGAAATTGATAACAAACAGGAAATTAATGACTTTGATTAATCGCATCTCATTTCTGATTGAAAATTATTTAGAGGTTACCATTTTCCGGCCATTACTCATGTTAACGTTTCGTGAACATTGTTGTTCACTTCGTCAAGGCGAGGAGCGACCTGACATTACGTTACGAGTTTCTCTACCCTTAGCTAGAAGGGAACAAACTATAAAACTAGTGACATTTATGATTTTATCGATAAATTTTTTAATATAAATCTCGCTAAACTGGGTACGTCCGTGATACTGAAAGATTGATCGAACACGACGAAATAGTGGCAATTAAATACAGAGAGAGAGAGTGTATGTTTACGACCACAGCAGCGACGTCGTGGAAGATTTGGCATGGATGCCGGACGGATGGCCACAATCCCCTAAATCCCCTACGAATAAACAAAGATTCACATTTTATTCGCGTCGGAGAAGTTTCTGCGAATGTATCGGTTGCAACGAAGATGATTTTATCGGTGTCGATTTCGTCATTTCCGTTTGGCGCGCGCAAACGACGCGACTGTGGTATTCCTGGAAAAATGACGATGATCGTTTGTTACAATTGCGCCGTGCAAACCCGACGTTCGTGTAAATGTTATCTCGGCTCGGTATAATTGGATTACACGACTGACCGATAATGAGATGGGCCGAGGAAACGGTGCACTTGTGCGCGCACCAGCCGCACAAATTAATTCCAGCCGCCGCGTTATGCTTATTGTAACTCATTACTTTTTCTCGTTGGCCCGCGCGAAGAATATTACGCGAAAAATACCACGTGTCGCAAATCACTTGACTCTCCTCGGCTTTCAGCACACAATGGAGGAAGTCTCCGACAAGCGTGAGACGAGGATTATGACGCACGGAATAACGTATAATTATTCATAACCGCGCCGGCTGTGTTGTGCGGTGAATCGAAATTCTCCTGCGTGCCAAACTGCCTACCCATCTCAACCTACCTAGTAGGCCCTTTTGCGTAATAACACAAGGTTATATAATTCCGCGCAACTTGCTGCAGTATCCATCGTGCTAATCTATAATATCGAGACGGTTGAACATGTTTCGGCTGCAGGCGCATAAAAACATTCGTAATTGCAATAACTGCGTTTTCTCTTAGGTCACTGCTGTTAGGCAGTTAATACGATGAAATGACTAGTTTAAAAAGAAATTAGTTATTATTATTGGCGTAATTACGTAATTATTTTTATATCTGGACCGTCAAATAATTACTGTACCCCACGTGAGAGGATTATCGCCCGATATATTCAGTTTCCAACTGATTTTATTACACCAACTAATCATTTTCGCAGATATTGCTGCTCGGCCTGACGACGATGGCGTACGCACAGCTCGGCAGGTTCACGACTCAATCGTATCAACCGGAGCAATATTACAATCCCAATTACAATCCCAATTACCAGGGCCGGCCTTTCTACGCCATACTGCGACAAACGCAAGACTCCTCGCCGGACGGATCGTATTCTTACAGGTGAGTCCGTCCCGCCGAGAGACGTACGTTTCTTCGATCTCGACACGCTCGACGAATCGCGGATGCCCTCGAACGCATGAAAACACGCTCGCGCCGTTCGGTCGATGCAATCGCGAAGTTAACACGCTCGGCGTGACCGTCCGTTTTTTTCTTCTTCTTCTTCTTCTCTCTCCATCGTGCCGCATCTTCATCGAGGAGTGATTAATAGACAGGAAGGAAGTGCAGTTAATGCACCGGAAACGCACGAAAGTGGTGACGCGTCTTGATGATTAACACATGTACGTTATTTCTCAACAAATATTTACGTGCCGTTCCAAGTTTTCGATATTTTTTTTTTCATAGGTGGTAAAGTGAGGAAATAGTACACGATTAAAAATAAAGCAAAAGAGCATTAAGAACTTTTTGCCCTAAAGTTTGGAAGCCAATTCCAACTACTGTTCATTATCAATGAAATTTGGACGTGAACTGATCTTCTTGAAAACTCATCAAGGATTTTTGTAGTGATGAGCGTTTTGCTTTCAGAAATGCATGTACTCGTATATGCTATAAGCACTACGTCGAGGGTAACGTACAGTTGGTCGAGAAGAATCGATATGATTGTCTGAAAAGATGTGGGATTCGTCGAATACGTTGTTTCTCGGTAGTACGTATCTATATAAGCATTGTTCAGCGGCTATTTTTCAATCTCGATGATGCCGACATACTTTTACCGTCCGAAAAAGGAGTTTAAACGTTGCAATTATGTCGATCGCGCTCGCGCAACATTTGTTAGTCGGGTCTACGGTTATTTTTATAATCCGCCCACTCGAGTGAAGCTCGAATCTCACGGCGGCACAAATGGCGCTCGAACAAAAAGAGAAAGAAAATTCGAATCGTACGAAGGCTAATGGTCTTACATGGTAACTTGAGAACGTTTCTGAGCACGGTGTGGCCTGTTAACCATAATTAAACACACGAAAAAAATGTGCGAACTCGTGTGCCGGTGTAATAATCACATGTGCACTGCGAATCTGCATTCTCGTGTTGGTACAATTCAAGAATGGTGAAGAAGTTTCCGACCAGTTTAATTCTTTTACTAAAAATATGATAAAATTTGTCTGACTTTACATTAATTTTCATGGTTGCTTGTCGTGTGTGCAATTCAATTTGTGAGACAATAATAGAATGCGCTCGAGATGAAAATATCGTTAAAACTTTCGAAAAATGTTATTTCTCGTTCAGAAAATCCACTTTTTTTTCTAATTACAACAAGAAAAATGATTTTAGGATGGAGGATGACAGGATGAAGAAAAGATACTGAAACATGAATATAATGCAGATATAGTAATCGCGCGATGGAGAAAAGCTGGTTGAAATTAACGTCACAATTTGGTTCTACGATATAGAGACGTTAAATATTTACTTATTTATTAAAATAGTTAATGAAGATGGAATTGCGGGTAAAATGATTAGTCATAGCTCTAATGGTAATTATTACAGGCTTACAACATATTCAGGCTTACAGAAATCTGCACGAGATGTAAGCATCAATAATTATTACGTTAGTTCCGCAACATGTGTGCATGTTCCCCTCCTCCCTTCTCTCTTGGTTTTTCCTTCTATTTGAAATATTATCTTGAATTATCGGATAATTATCGGACTGGACAACACCAATAATTATGCAAAATTCTACACGAGTCCGTAAGAAAAGTCGCCCATCGCGAAAAGGTGTCGAAATATCTTCACCCCGCTCTGACTTTCTAACACAGATCGCACGATTCGCTATAATTAGTCAAACATGTCGAGATTGTAAGTCGGCGATTATCGAATTATCTGTTAGGCGATGCGATCATCTCGCATCGTCCCGATACGTGATATTTGCATCGCGCTAAATCTACACGACGCATCTCGCACGCAATTAACGAACGCAACAATCGACAAGTAAAAGCCTGCGATTACCGTTCCGACATCCATTCCGTATTATTGACACTCGTCCCTGGACGACCTAATATTTCATTCAGTCCAATGGTCCTCACAAATAGTTGCCCGACGTGCCGACGTACCCTACCTCTCTAATAATCAATTGTCTTTCGACGCTTTCTAACTCCGGGACTTTGTATGACTGTACCATTTGAGATAATCGTCCGGGCGTGCCGAGGTCGCGGACCATTCGCGGGCTGGCCAGGTCACCAGACGGTGCCCCAGGCGCTACTTGAGACCAGTCGCCTTAATCGAAATCGCAAAAACCGTGAACCCGTCTCGGCCAAAGGAAGGATACATAATTGGCTTTGATGTTAATCGTACGCGCGCCACTCGGCTGCACAGCTCGCAATAATTGCGCAATTGAACAATTACAATCGACCTACCTGCCTACCTCTGCCTGCCTGCCTACCTACGCGCTCACCTTCCTCACCCATCCTCGTTGCCCTGGAGTTCGCGCCTAACTCGAGCCCCTCCCGTGACACCTGTCTCTAGGATATTGAGACTCGGCCAGGCTCCACCTAACTCCTCGAAGGTGGTAGCGCTTTTCTCTCACTGGTTTTCCCAATGGCAGTTCAGAAGGAAAATGGACATGAAAGGAGTTGCTCATGTAGCCGATGACTGTTGTTCTAAAGCAATTTGACGATGGATTTATTTTAATTGGTTTTACTCAGAGTCGGCGTGAAAAAGTGTACTCTCATGCGAAATGACACGCTGAATTCTCTTTTTGAGATAAGACTGCCGTTTCGGGAAATGAACCATCTCAGACAAATCTTGTTAATCTGTGCAGGCTAACATCAAAGGTTTCATATTTGCGGCTTAAAATTCACTTTACTCTTTAATGAAATTGTATTAATGTATTTCTCTCCTCTCGTAAAAGTAATTCGCGATACGTCTGAACAATCTATTTCTACTGCAGCTACGACACGGCAAATGGCATCTCCGTAGCGGAGACCGGGCAACCGAAGAATATTGGGCCGAACCAGATCGAGGCGGTCAGGGGTCAATACAGTTACACGGCACCGGACGGCACACCGATCCTGGTCACTTACACAGCCGATGAAAATGGTTTTGTGGCGACCGGCGCGCACCTGCCGACACCGCCGCCGATACCGGTAGAGATACAACGTGCCTTGGCGCACAATGCAGCTCATCCCGAAGAGGAGGAGCCCTACAGGAGATATTAGACATGTCTACGCTAGAATTGCTCCCAACGCTTCGATATATCGACGTGGAACGATGTCGCAGTCACCGCTTATCGACGATAAACCTCACATAAGGCTCTGAGTAAAATGGCTGTCTTGTACTCTACGGACAATGTTCTATGTTTTCAATCTTTGTACAATCACTGTCTTGTGTCAAGAGTACAGGACAGCCATCCTGTTCAGGCCTCTTACTCGTATCGTTATCCATGAAAGATTCTTTCGAAGCGGGTTCGAACTTGGCTATTAATTCCGGGATAAACGTTAAAGCGGACACGTTACGCGCTCCTCACTTTTGGAAATTGTATTTACTAATTACATAGTGACTCCATGATTGTTATATCAGTGATCAGCTTGTCGAGCAATACTAGCGTTTACTTTATCCGTGCAAGGCGGGGCACGATTAGGCGAGACGACGGAACGTGAGATCGATGAGTACAAAGTGAGAATAAAGGAGCGGAAGAAGGAAATCTTTCTTCATTCTTTGGTAGACGTAGAAGGTATTTTAATAAATTAATAATTTATTTCTTTTTACTCTTAAATCACGAAATTCCGATCCAAAGAATGTGACTACGAGCAGAAAAGGAAAACATTTTTACGCGGTTTTGGAATGTTTCGGTTTTTTGTTTTTCAGAAACTCACGTTCTCCATTTGAAGTGCATCAATGCAACGGGGATTGCTATTGAAGCACAGCTTGTTTTGCGTTAATATCTTAAGAAATCGCGACGGTGCGACACGAGAAGCTGTAAAATCATTCTGGAGGTGTAATTTATGCATACGGCCGATAATACGACTGCCATCAAGGCTCGAGGTAAAATAAAATGTTGGACAGAATTATTGTATATTGCATGCGCTACGCGCAGCATGCTATGAAGTTCAGCATTATTATATAAGACGACACGATAATATCTTAAATATGAATTACGCAAGACCGCCTTGCCTTACTCGAGGGAGATCAATATATTACGGGAGTTTATGCCAAGCGGTGCAATTTGCGGATCGAATCATTCCTTTATCTTTGTAACGATGAGACCTGCAAACTTATAACAGACTTGTGAAAAAGTTAATATTATGCCGCATAATTATTGCGCGCTGCAATCAACTGGAATTCGTACTCGTCCTTGAGGATTTCGCTCGTCGCCTGAACGTGCCTTAGACCCTGAACAGTATAAGCTACTTAAAAAGGCGAACATAAAGGAAGCCCTACGTGTATATTAAAGCAGCAAACGTCATGTACATCGTGGCGTTTGAAAGCTAATTTGTCGGTATGAAATTTTCCGGTGAAACAATAATCTCCCCCGGCGCAACAAATTTAAGGAGAATTCTGCGATTCTATTAGAATTCTGTTATACTGTTCAGGGCTAGCCGACTAATCAACGACATTCCGCGGAGGACTTGCCGAATACGAAGTGTAACGCTTCGCTTTATTTTGATCCTAACACGAAGAGATTACATGCCAACTGTACGCGATCGAGATCCTGCGTATCCTGCGAGCTACGATCCCTCGCGAGCGTCTCGCTCCTCCACATTCTCCGCTTGGCGAGAAGTGGCGGAGTCGATGGGAGGGAACAGAATCGCGGTGTAGGTGCCCGATGCGACAATATGTCATATCATAATTGTGCTGTAATGTATCACGCTATGGCTATTAAATCGTTTAATTACGCATGCTCCTCCGTGTATTCTGAATACCGTAATCACACACCTATAATTATAACGCGCGTATTCATTGCGGACCTTCTCTCTCTCTCTCTCTCTCTTTCTCTTGGCCTGTGCCTTTAACGATTTTTAACAAACCGGGTATGACCACCGTATGATAATAAATTATCTTAATATGCAAGATAAACTATCCTTTCGTGTTCAGCAACAACAATGTTTATTTATAACTACGACCGAGCTATTCGCTGTTCATTGTTCACGGCGTATGACAAATGTTGAACTCGCAGCATCATATTTCAGAAATAGCGGTGCTTGTAAGCGGAGAATGGATTCAGGACTATGTTGCGATGCTGAGATAAATTGCAAATCGCCATGTGCCCGACAGATCGCTCGGCAATTTTTCAGACTTACGCGCCAAGTCGCCCGGTGGCTCGCATTGATTTGTTTACATAAGGATGCGCCGTAAAGTACGACCCGGCCGCGTTACATCGCGGATTGCTTAACGTGTTACGTCAGAGCGACGCGGGGGGGAGAAAGGATGGTCCCGGGCCCGGTTTTGAATTTGACGAGAAGGCACGCGCGTCTTTCCCAATTCTTCTCGGCCGGCGAAAAAAGAAACGACTTCTTCGAGAAAAAAAAATTCTTCTCGGACTCCGCGCAACATTTGCATACCTTCTCGTTTCGACGATAACCGTTTTTGGTTAGCGGTCGTAAGTGGCACGCGATGCCACGCACGGTCACGCCAGGATCCCAGCGGCTCATTGTGGATTCAGGGTGAAACAACGTGCGCGTCGAAATAATGGCAATTAAGCGAGTAAGCCTGAACCGCGCTTTCTCGGAGAGCGGTCGACGTGACACGGTCGCTTATCTGTCAAGGATCGGTCAGGCACACTGAAAAAAATGTCTGGTTGAATATGGCCGAAACAGATAATTCCTACAGGAATTATCTGGTTCGGCCATATTCAACCAGAAATTTTTTTCAGTGCAAGTGCACGTTAATTTTCTGTGCATGGAGGCGCGTACTCGCGTTAAGACACGACGATATCGAGTCATATATCTTCAGATTGCAAATTCCACGATTGGAAGATTGAATTCGCGCAATTATCATGTCGGCAAGCATAAAGCATCTTCTTGGAGATCGCTCAGAAGTCCTCTAGGATTACGTTCTCTATTCAAAGTATCATATTACGTACTTTACACGGTAATAATCTTACATTACTTGCACGCTTGCACGCATCGACCTTTTTTGCGCGCCGATTGATCGCAAGATTCATTTATCGGCTGTCCCGGCCGCGGCGCGTTCGTCGCCGAGCGTGTGTCTTCCCCGCGAAAGGACGCCGGGCACTAACAACTGTTAATTAAAATCGATTCTCGCTCCGTTCGGCGCGCCGATAAACGACCGTTTAGCGCGGTTTTACGGCGATTATATTGCCGCGGCGTGGGTTTAATCGTCGCGCGCCCGAGCGCAAAATTTTAGGCGGACCGACCGGCCGTGGAAATGCCATCCGGATTAATGTTAATGGTAATCGTAATATCATGTTAAAGGTGAGTCAGTGAAAGCAAATCATCGGTCTCCTGTCCGTTGCACAACGCGCGAACGCGCGAACGAGCGACCGCGCGAGCGAGCGAGCGAGCGCATCTCTCGCGGGACTCCTCGGTTTATCCGCGAGATGGAAATGACGGGGTATCGAATTTAGCGATTCTCCAAAACTATCTACGGTCACGGCAGAGCTTGGGAGATATGAAAACAGGTAGATCGTAAATTGATCATAGTTGCAAGAGGTGCGAGAACTCTTTGGCAGATTTTAGACTCTCGTCAAACTTTATTGCCCACGCGATACGATCGCGCGATAATTGCCGATAATTGGCTCGCGCGGATTGCACGACGTGCATATTTTAACTCCGGGCACGTCTTGCATTCACAATACGAGCGACTTGTCGAGACGCAAATTGCATTTGCAAGTCGAACGGGGCAGTTACTGCGAAAGGTCAGGCGCTCGATTTCGTTTCTGAAATTAATTGACGCTAATTGAAATACCGGTTGAGAGCAGGACGAATATTGCGATATTTATGCCGATCGCTAGACATGAATGATCCATGAATTTGGCAACCCCGTTGTGATTTACGAAGCCGATGGCCAAATTACGCGATATCGCGAGTGTAAATTGTAGCTCGCTCGACGTGCAAGCGATGCAACCTGAAAGGTCAGTTCAGACTAGACTATTTCATACGTGGACTGGCGCGGCGCGAGGGTGAAGTATTGTTGAAAATTATAATCAGCAGTTGACAGTTAGTCATTACCAGCTGACAGTTATTAATGGCGGTGGTTGTGACGATCGTGGCTAAAACAATCGGATTCTCTCGTGCATATACTTGCGCGAACGGAGCGCATAAAATGTGCGAATACAATTTCGTACGTTCATTTCATTTTCGCAGGAATTTCAAGGAAAATGCGGTTAAATAATGAAGGATGTATTGGACGTACAATCTTAGACAAAAGTGCATGAAATTGGAAATACTTAAATATCTACTCTTAACGCATAGTAAATCTAGATGTAAGAAACTTGAACGATAGTTGGAGTCTTATTTGTACTCCTACAAAGGTATTTTTCACTTTACAAATGTTTCTTCCTGAATTATTTGCGATTTTTTCACTTATGAGCCTAAACTTTTGATAGTGAAAATACTCTGATTTCAATTCTTAATAACGTCAAATATTTTGAAAACTAAAAAATTCGTGCCGACAGCACGAATATCTCAAGTTATATTTTATTATATTTTATTTCTTTAAAACGGTGCAGTAAAGACTATTGAAACTTGGTCGATATTTTCATCTATTCGTATACTAGATGTATAAAAAAATTCAAAACACTGGTACTATTTCTTCTACATTTTTTTAGCTGTTTTATCCGTGGAGATCGGCTTTTCCCATAAGAGTACGTGTCAAATCAGTGTAAATTAAAATAGTTATATCTCAGCAACCGTTTAGTGGACGCATTTTTACTTTTCTGCAATAAATTAGGAAGACTAAAAGAACAATTTCACAAATTTTTAGCGACTTTGTACTATTTTGAAGATAGGTCCGATACATCCTTAATTAACCGTGCCATCAGATAAATTTAAAGGCAATTAACGTTGTTCCTCGAGAGCAGAATTATAATAGTTACAAATAACGAGTAAAGATCACGTACACGCGTGCAACTGTTACGCATATGTTTATATCTAAATATCGGGGTCAAAAGGTCCCACCGTGCTGCAATTCTCAGATGCTCTGCAGGCCGACTTAAGAGCGATAGATGTTTAGATAAATATTGATTATAATTATACAGTTATAATCGCATATCATTATGCAATTTTATCCAGGGATAAAGATTGCCGATTAATTACGTGAATTTCTGAAGAGCTGGATATTTAATAGACTTTTACTTGATGAAATAATTATAATTTATTATATGTATATCGATTAATTCACGCGCGAGGCACAAAACGTTTAGTAAAAGTATATTTCTAGTCATAGTTTCTAGTAATAATTATATATATTTCTAGTAATTCTTATTGTGTATTATTACTGTGATCTCAAATCTTTCTTTTTTCTGCAACATTGCATATTTTACAATTTTGAGAGTAATTTTGAATTGATATTTATATCACACTACGACAACTGATTTATAACCAATTATAACGCGGGTTGTCGCTGTCACTGTTATCACAAGGGGAAAAAAAATTCGTGCGTGCACATTTACCTGTCAAGTCACGAGATGCAAACCGCTCGCACGCTAACGAGGCTGTCAGGTCTGCGCGACCGAGAGATGAAAAGAAGACGAAGAAGTGGACCGGGTAACCATCGCAAGAACACATGATACGCGAAATCGATATTTTGCATACAATCGTAAAGAGTTTTGGCTCGGGTCTCGCATCAGCGATGTCGGTCAAGGAATCGGACACTTCTGGACCGGACGTACCCTGTCGCGAAAATCGCGATCGCGCCGCGTTGTGTCGCCGATCGTCCCGCAGTCATTTTGCGCTTTTGCGCAAGAGAACTTGGCGATACGCCTCTATTGTTCTGACAACAACGTTGACAGCTCGTCCTCGCTTGCGAATGCGTATTCGCTGGTAGGAAAATAGAAAATCTCGTAGGAAGGCCGAGATTTAATACGCTGTAACGCGCGCGGACGGACTAAACTTAGATTTGCACGCTAATCATATGGTATTCAATAACAGAACCGTTTTCAACCGTGTCTCGATTTGCGTAACGCATTTCCATGTTTTTTACTTTGGTTTCCTTTGCTCGTCAACCATCGAGTCGTAAACATATTTTCCGCATGTGTCACTCTTTACTTCAAGGAATTTTTGTACAACAATTGCTCTCATATTTGCGTCAATATCGTAATTAACGCTTAACCGATGTACGCTCGCGATCTTTTCAATCTGTTTCGCTATAAATTCGCGATTACAAAAAGTTACATCGCGCATTTCACGTATATTCTGCCATGAATCTCCTTCCTTCCAATCAAGAGATTTTTTTAACAAACCGATTATATGGAGTAAAGTTAGAAAAATATTAATGAACGAAGAAATGTACATAAACTAATAGATGTAGAAAGAACCGAGAAACGAAGGAAAGAATAAAATGCTTGTACGGACAAATTCTGAATGCGGGTGAAGACGGGGGACATTTTAAAAACAGGCCGGAAAATAATTAGTGCAAGTATCGCAAGGGAGAGTAAAAATATTTCCTCCATCCTGGTCGTGAGATCCTGGCGGCGGATGGATATCTCCGCGATGACAGTCTGACACGAGTATCCCGGCCATGAATTCCTTTCTCCGCTCGTCATCTATAACGGAAAGAAAGGAAGGGCATGGCACAGCGAAGAAAGGAGGCGCTTCGAATGCCAGAGACGACAACACTTCGCAATTCGTTCGCGCTCGCGGATTGATCCGGGTATAGTCGCGTTAGGAACGATCCCTAATAAGCACCTCGTCATGTGCCCACGATCGTAACTACATCCTCGCA